CACTCTCACTCACTCACACACACACTCTCTCACACACACACACTCAAACTCGCACACACACTCAAACACTCACTCACACACACACACACACTCACACACACACACTCACAGACACGGGGACTCTCCATAGGCGTAATGCTTTTTCTACTGTACAGACCGTATATTCTGTTGTCCTACACCAACCCTACCCCTAAACCTACCCCTCACAGGAAACTTTCTGCATTTTTAGATTTTCAAAAAACTTCATTCTGTATGATTTATAAGCTTTTGTACCCGTGGGGACCACAATTTAGGTCCCCACCGTGACACGAGTCCCCATGAGTCTGTGTGTAGTCAGGTTTAAGTCCCCACCAGGATATATAAACCAGTACACACACACACACAAACACTCACTCTCACACACACATAAACACTCACTCTCACACACACACATAAACACTCACACACAAAAAAATATAAATTATATATATTTATATTAATAATATAATAAAATATAATATTTAATAAATATATTAATAATATATAATATAATATATTATATATAATAACATATTTTATTTCTATATTATGTAAATATAAATGTATTTCTATAAATATTGTATATAAAGAGCGATAGCAATAATAAGAAAAAAATATATTATAATAATAGCAATAACAATAAATATTTTATGCTACAGTGTGATGTTCTCCGGATGAAGCCGATGGTGTGACGGCGGTGTGTGTACTCACGATCGCTGCAGTGCGAGCTCCCGTAGGACGTCATGCTGCAGTCGCACGAGAAGCCCTCCCACTGCTGCAGACACACCCCCTGATGATGACACGAGTCCTCCGTACAGGTGGTGCTGGGTCCTGCGCGCACACACACACACACACACACACACACACGCACACACACGGTCATTCGGAGTGTTTCCCAGCAGAGCTTGTGCTGGCTCAGTGTGTTTATATAACGAGAGGAAGCACATGAGATAACGTGACGCAGCAGCAGAAGGATGAACGTGAGAGTGGAGTTTAAGACGAGTGATCGGTCATTATCGTCACATAAACACACTACACGTTCAGATCTACAGCACGTTCAGATGAATCTCACGACAGCAGCGATGACTTTCAGAAGACACTCCAGTCCAAACTAGAGTCTGAAGACTCAAAACACTTGTGCTGTGCAGATAAATGATGGCATTTATTATATTTGATGCGCCACATCCTCAACCTGTTCAAAAGTTTTTATTTTAAGTAAATTAATATTTCCATTCATCAAGGCTGCATTAAATTGATCAAAAGTGACAGTAAAGACATTTATAATGTTACAATAGATTTCTGTTTCAAATAAAAGCTGTGCTTCTGAACTTTCTATTCATCTGTGAATCCAGAAAAATAAAATCTATCACGGTTTCCACAAAAATATTGTGCAGCACAACTGTGTTCAACATTGATAATAATCAGAAATGTTTAAATCCACCTCAGCATTTACACAACTTTACAAAACATATAAAGTAGGCATTATATTTACACTCACGTAGGGTGATACACACACACACACACACACACACACATATATATATATATATAAAATCATGATTTTCTTGTTGTTTTGAAATAATGTGCATTGTGAAAAATGCCATGGAAATACATATAAAGTAATATAAAAATATATAAATATATAAAGTGCTATATATATTCCTCTTTCTTTTGTTGCTTTGAATATAAGCATCTGAATCTGAAGCATCTAAATGCATGAATGTAAATACATTTAAAAAATATATAGAAATTTTAAATGCATGTTAAATAATTTTAAAAAAATATAAATTATATATATT